GCATTTTTCCGCAACCTCACGACGCTGTATGGACATATGCAACAATTGTGATATCGAGACATAGAACGAATAAGAACGTTATAGCTGACCAAGGTCAACTGCTAAATATTCTACATTAGCCCACTACTACCCTTCAGTTATTTTCGTGATAAAATACCAACAATATCTCGTTCCCATGTAAAAGTATATATATGCCCTACATGGCTTGTGGTGCGTGCACGTTTGTGCGGATGTATGTAACAAGCAGAAGGGCTTAAGATAGGCCGACCTTTTATTATACCGATCGATTAAAAATTATATTTTGAATTGATCTAAGCCTGTCCGTTCGTCTGGTGTCCGTCTGTAAATTTGTGTTCAAGCTGCAGGTGGCAATAAGTAATGTTTGGACATTCTAAATTGGTATGAAAACTTTGGATAGGCTGGGGCAATTTTTAATCCCTTATATAGCGAAAGCTGAAGTTCACTCGGCAAAGAAGTATAATTTTTAATGCTTCATGAAGGAAATTGCATCATAAGAGTAATTTAATATAAAAAAATTAAATATACTAAAATTGGACCATGTTGATCGAATTTGACCCATAATATTATAGTAATTTTATTCAAAAATGAACTGTACAAAATTGGGCCAGCTACGCCTATTTTTGGGTCCTGCCTTATGGAAGGATTAAACCAATTTGCGTATTGGGCCCGCTTCTCCATAACACTCCGCACTTGAAAAATTTGACTTTATATAGAAACAAGATGTAATTTTTGCAAGAATTGTATTAGACAATGTGGTGCAGCAAAAACGAAAGTTAGAAAGTTATTCCAGAGAATCGGTCGTTTTGCTGGGAAGGACTTAGAATTAAATCAACACAGAAGGAAGGAATCTCCTCATACGAGTTTTAGCATGTGAAACTTTTTCCTCCATCATAGAGTGCTCTAAGAGAACGAAGCGATGAGTTCTAAAGATCTTACGAGTTTTTATTAGTGGTACGATATTCGAACTCTATAAAACTTTAGCACTTTTCTTTCAATTGAACTTTTCACCACTCAAATCGTACTCATTAGCGTCAGTGGTGTCGGTATATATAAGTTAAAAAAGCTCAATGCGATAGCAGTTCTCCCTATTATCGGGATTTTTTCTGTACTGCAAGTTCAAATTAAATTTCAAACTCTTTGCATTGTCTCTTTGACAGTTCAAATGAGACGAAGCCAGAAATGAATATATTTTGGAGACATACGTGTTCGTCCCAAACAAATAGTTTCAGCCATTCTTTTGGTGATTCATTTTATGTTGAGGATAAAAACCAACTCAATGATCATCATGAAGCTCCTTCAAAAAGTAGCAGCTTGGGCAATGAAGGGTACATCCTGTGTACTAACTTCATGTTACTACTTGGTCGCATTTCTTAGCCTAAGCAGAGAAGCAGGAAACTCCTAAATATTTGGAAACTCTGCAGACAGAGTTCGGCTAAAGATTCACTTTGTAGACCCGTTCCTTAAAAACGAATTTTTCTATTTGACCATTCCAGATACTTTCTACTCTCAAGGTGTAGTTGTGACAACAGACGTTCAAAGATCTAAAGAGAATTCAAACCTTCGTTTGGTATATAAGACACATTTTATTTTGTCTTAAGCGATTTTTTTGTGCAAATTTTGGACACAATTAAGTTCAAGGCTCTCTTTATTTCTAACGGCTTTCTTCTCTCTGTTTTCTCTTCATACAATTCAGACAGGGTTGATTTTAGGGTTGATAAGACTAAGTTCTGCTCAGTTACGGCAGATTATGAATGCCCCCCCGTCAGACCAAACTGTTAACAAAAAAGTGCTATTTAAGCAATATTTAAGCCTTTTCGGTAAATGCTTCTATCAGAGCAAGTTATGAACTGTCTTCATTTCTAATGGCTTGTTTTCCTTTCTTTATTCTTCATATTTCAAGTTTATACGTTCGGACGGGATTGATTTTTTGTTGCACTTAAGCAGTTAACAGCATTACTAGGATCAAAAAGTCCCAAGACTAAGTTCTTCTCAATTACTGGAAATTATGAATACCTCCCCGGCGGACTAACCTATTAATAGAAGAATGCTATCTAGGCAATATTTAAGCCTTTCTGGTAAATGCTTTTGTCAAAGCAATTCAATTTTTCGGAACCTTTTAAGTGGAAATTCAACTTGTACCGTTATGTAACGTAATTTGACCCTGTCCATCTTTTGCCTTGCAACGAGTACATCGTTTTAATCCACTTAAAGGAGATAAAATCGAATTAGGGACAAATGCTGAAAATACCAGGATGAAATTGGACACAAATGTCAACAATTGTGGAAATTGTGCTGATAGTCTTAGGAAACAATTGGGCAATAATTTCGAGGTATAATCTGTGGGGATACAAAATAATGATCAAATCGTCACCTACTAAAGGTTTGCTAAACGATCTGATGGGAGCAGACTACATTAGTCTAAATGAAAGATTCTTTAATAATTGAAAAATTTCTTATTATTATGTCGAACGTTGTTATCGTTTTTCCAAAACTTTATATAAGAAACTTATACCATTTTCTACTTGAATTCCTTGTGGTATCTCAGGATCGGTATTAACTTCTTGAAAATTATCAGGTATTGCCGGAAGGAACACATCACATTCGAAACTGGATTGTATTTGTGTTATATATAAACGATGACAACGTTCAGAAGCCATGGCATCTCTAAAAACACCTGCACCGCCTATTATCCAAATAGTTTCTATGCTGCTTTTCAATTCATTGTCGTTCTCCAAAAATTTCATAGCCCGTTCAAGATTCGGCTGCAGTAAGACCTCATCCGATAAATCATGTTTTGTTAAAGTCGTGCTTAAAACGATGTTCAATCTATCACGCAATGGTCTATTACTGAGCGGTATTCCAAAATAAGTTTTACGCCCCATTATAACTACATTGCGTTTCGTAGAATCTAGTACCCGTCTCGTCGTCTGACTAAAGTATTTAAGTTCGGATCTGTAAATAAAAATAATGGTTTGAATGCTTCTCTATCATAACGAGTATAGTGTGTTCGCTTACTTCAATTTCCATGGTAAACCACCCTTTAAACCAATACCCAAATTTTTCGAAACAGCAACAATTAAATTAAATTTCAAACCAGCGATAGTTCCCCCATTTTTGATAGCCTGACGTGGTGAGTCTGTTACAACATCATTTATAGTTGATTTATCTAAATCAATCTCAGTTGTCTCGTTCGTGTTTGATAAAAAGATCTTCTTTTGATCCCTGCAGCTTTCTTCGATTTCTGGTTTGCTTTTTACATCGAGAACATCAAGTGGCCTATGCTTCATGTTGGCCTGAACAGCTGGATCATCAGATTTATGATCAAACAAGTGTTTAGCGTTTTGAGAATTCATAACAACTTGATTTTGAGTAGCATCTCCGATGGAATGTTTCGTTTCAGTGAAAGCAACATATGATGGTGATGTCCGATTACTCGCGTCATTGGCAGTAATATTCACTTTGCCATGTTGGATGGAGTGGGAAGTATCCGATTCAGTACCAGCACCAGGAGTTTTAGGCATCTATAAGATAAACAAAAATTGTATGCAAGTTTATACTACGCATAAAAAAAACGAAAGAAGAAGAATATAATTCACGTTTTATATGTGAGGCAATGAAACATTTCCCCAATAAGGAAATAGTGTATGCAATAACTAACCACTTTGCCTTATGACAAAACAACACTAATAACTGTAAGGATAAGGGCAGCAGTGTGAAAAAATTCATGAAAACAAAATCACTTGTACCAATTGGTAGTATTTCCAGTAATCGTTCTTTTTCTATTACCAGGAAATTTTTAGCAGAAGAAGGAAGAAATTTATATTTCCACTTATCTTCCATCATCCACTACGTTTTGCAAACACTATTCCTACTACCTCAGTTCCCCAGGATTGGAAAACAGCCAAAATTAGGCCAATGCAGAAACATGGAAATTCATTAGCCTTGAATAATTTAAGGCCTATTAACATTCTGTCATCCTTTTGCAAAAACGCAAAACATATCATGAAACTACAAATTGAAGAGTTTGCTTATATGGCCAGGGCGCCAATTATCAGAGTGACTTTGGATTTAATGCTCATCATAATACATTCGGCCTTTTCACTTCAGTTACAGAATCAATCAGGGAAAATCGTAATCAAGATAAAATCCCTATGCTTATCTTCCTGGACCTGTCGAAGCCCTGCGGTGGGAGTCCTTCATTCATTGGTTATTGAAAAGCTCTATCACAATTTTAACTTTTCTAGAAATGCATACAATCTTAAGCAATCTTACTTATTCAATCGGAAGCAATTCGATGTGTCGTCTGGGATAGTTAAAGAGAACTCTGGATGAAAATTAACCGTTCATAAGATCGAACGGTTTATCTATAATATCCGCCTGAGAGATCGTGTTCGAAATTTTTTTAAATTCTCCTTTGAAGATAACCTTAAGTTTAGATAACTCATTTATCTGTTTGAAGTTATTAAGTTTCAATGATCCCACTTCCTTTACAGGCGTTTTCTATTTAGGTATCCCCAAATAGTTATTTTCTTCATATTGCACGTTGTGCTCGCTGCTGGAACAATCTCCCAGTAAATTAGTACTTTTTAGGGGTTTGTCTCTTTAATACGTTGACTGCCACGCGAGTTTTCTCCATCAAGGGACACATGCTACTATACTGTTGCAGGCTTATATGTAGAAGGTATAATAGGAAAAAATGAAACAACAAACTAGAAAACCTGTAATGGGTCGTGACTTATCATTCAATATCTTACATCGCTCCGCACGACTTTTACGAAAGTAAGGCTTTATATGGAATAGTGGAGCGATCCGAACAATTTTCCATAGCATTCGTCCTTGGGCCAAACCATTCTAGCGAAACTAGATTTCATCAAAATATCTTAAGAATTGCGGATTCTAGATTGGATACAAGAAAACAAGATGGTCGGACGGACGGACAGACAAGCTTAAAACGATTCAGAATGCGATTCTGAACCAATTGACATAATAAAAAATGGATCT